TGATCAATTTGATGATATTTGGGCATCAAAACAATCTCTTCTAATGAAAGTTTTGAGATATGTTCTAATTTGATTGTTTAGAGCCTAAGCTCTATATAAACTTTTCATTTTATGTAAACAAAATAAAGCATCACTTCAAATCCTTGTGGGGAAAGCACATTGGCAACATAAATCTTTGTAATGGCTTTAAAATCAATTTTCAATACGGACAATAAATTTGAAACCCAAAAAATTACACATCTTGTGGATATTTGAACACCTATTTTTAGGGCGAAATAGATGGTCAAGATAATTTGTTACACTATTTTTAGAACTCGAAATCTTAATTTTTTTTAACAACAATAATATTCAAGCCAAGTTGATCAATTTAAAGGTTTTCCAACACCTTAGAATTACAATTTTCGATGAGTGATGAGGTGAGAATTTAGATATTTTGATAGAGTCAAATCATTTTCCTTTTACTCATGAAGTGATATTAAAAGATCAAACTGACCTTGCAGCCTTACATATTGCACTACGGCTGCACCCTTTAAAAAAATTAAGGAAAAAGTTTATATAAGGGTGAGGCTCTAAACAATCAAATGAAGGCACACTTCAAAAATTCACTAGAAGGGGTTGTTTCAATGTTGAAACACCCTCAATTCGATCATCTCAACCTCCAGATGCATGGAATCGAGAGAAAATAGATCTTAAGTCTTGAAAACAATGCATCTTGTAATGTATTATCTAGACTGTTAATTTTCAAGATTTTTAAGTGTTTATAAATTTGTTAGATCTACACTATTTTTTAATCTTTAGTTTTATTATTAGAGATGCAAATAAATTTTCAAGTCAGTATAAAGATTTTTTATACTAAAACGATATATTTTAATACTATTTGAAAGTGTGTCTTACTTTGATTGTTTAGAGCCTCGGCTTAAATGAGCTCTTCGGAAGTTCACATCTCTAGCTTTGGATGTGGAGCCTACATCCATATTGGACACGCTATTTTAAAGGCACAAAATATTCCACGTTTTCCGCGTAAACACAAACAGATATCGGTTGAGACCCTAACTATTTTTAATGGGAGCAAACGTCAAAGTGGATCGAAATAAAAAACTTGTCCGAGTAAGTTGGCTAGACTAGGGCCGAGTACGACGCAACAAAATAAAATAGTTAAAAAAATTATTTAAAGTAAAATTAAACAAAACATATCTAAACGTGATTAAAAAACTAAAAAGATAGATTTTTAAAAAAAAAAACCAGTTTGTGGTGAGGTATTTTTGTAATTTTCTAAAATGATGGAAAATATAAAAATAAGTATTTATGGCCAAAATACTTTTTAATGTTTGCCAAAGTAATATAAAACATAAAAAATATATATTATAAATAAATTTATTATTTAAAAATTATATATATATATATATTTTTTTATTTTTTATTTTTTTGTTATTTTTATTTTTTTCTTATGCCCAAGTTGGACGCCAAACTCGGGACAACTTGAGCTTGGCCACTGCTCGAGCCCGAGTAACCTATGTGGGGCGTGCCCCTTTTAACCTAGCCTAGCTTGGGTGTGCCCCTTTTAACCTAGCCTAGCTTGGGTGTGACACAGTTGTTCCCATGACCCACAATTCACTGCAGGAGCTCATTATTGGACCGCTAAAGTCAATCAATAGGCTAGGGGACGTAATCTCAGTATGTGGATTTTAGGTTCTACCCTAGAGACAAACCATGATTTACCCGACTATGATGCAATCATGACTCTATGGTGCATAGAGGTAACCTCTCTCACATGTACATGCTTCACCCTCAATGGTAGATTACTATCTCAGTGCGACTATCTATGCACATGTTGTGTGATGATACAATGATGAGGTTTTAGCCTTGTTTCTATAGACTATTCATCAAACATAAGGGTCACATAGTCCCTCGACTCTCATCCGGGTATACTCTGACTTCATCAAGTGCTAACCTACTAAACTTTCATCGGTTTCATCTTTATGCCGAGGTTCCTTAAGTTTTTCTAACTCGGCTGGCCTAGCACATTGAGCCTAGTCCGACTATCGACAAATTGCATTTGTCTAGTATGGTCCATAAGAAGATCACACTCTCATTGAGTTTATGTTTCACTATACACAATGCTCGTACAAGCTCTCATAATGCCTTTAAAGACCACATAAACCCAATATTATCTGCGTCCTTACTTATATCCATCTAATGTGAAATCTGATGGCTTGGGTGTCCCACAAAATTAGAAAAAGATCTTTCAGCTTGACCAATGAAATAAATGCAGTCACCCAATTTTACATCAATTAGTTAAGATTAATGTGACCACCTTATACCAAAGGTAAACGGTCTTGTTGTATCTTTTTCGAAAATTAAATCTATTTGTCGAACGAGTGGTACAACCAAGCTTGAACAGCACCTAATTTGGATTGGCAGTCTAAGCCTCTAGACTAAAATACCCTTGAGTTGGTAACTACCATACTGTTCCTTATATTTGTTTGATAAAATGTTAACTACCATATTATACCCAACGTGATAATCACCTAACAGTCACCTCTACCAGCCCATGTCTTCCACTAATCTCTCTTCCTCTCTTCCTTCATGCGAAGGGAGAATTGACAGAATTCAACTTCTTAGTCAGGGCTTGGAAGGCTCTAGCCCCTCACTCCTTTTGCTAGCAAGAGACTGAAAGAGAGAGAGTGTGTATTTCTAGAGAGAGAGAGGGAGAGAGATGGCTCTAGAGGTCCATGCTTATGACATTGTATGTTTTGCGATCGTGGCTGCGGCCCTTGTAGGGGCAACATGGATCATTCGATCTAAGGAGGCCCCTGACAAGTCCCCTGATGAGACTCTGCTTGAGACTATCCTCACACCAGAGACTCATGGCAGTCATACGGGTGTCACGCCTGTCGGGTACATAGGCACGCATGAGGTATGGGAGAGTTGTTGGAGGGGCGTTCACCCGCTGTGGCTCTTGGCAACCCGAGCAGTTTCGGCTGTGGTCATGGTCTTTTTCTTGGTTTGGGATATCGAAGATTGGAGCCTTACCATCTTCGTCTACTACACCGAGTAAGTCAGATTCTTCCCAGTGTCAAGCATTCTGCTTAGTACAATACTTGCAAGGTCTAAAATTTAATTTTTCTTTTTGGATGAATTTGTGAGCTTTTTCTTTAATTATATGAAGTGTCTTCCTGTTTTTATGGCATTGTAGATCAATGTCAAATAAGTGACTGTTTATTTGGTAGATAGTTTCATTTCACTGGAAGGGTGGAAGAGGGTAGTGTGGTAAATGTAAGAAATGGAAGAGGGTAGTGTGGTAAATCTAAGAAAGAAATGATGAAATGAGCTTGGTTTATTGGGATTTAGATGAGCCAGGCTGATATGGACCCCCACTAGCAACATACAGAAACAGTAGATATTCTATTTACTTGTTAAAAGTAAATTGAGAAAGTTTATATAAGGGTGAGGCCCTAAACAATCAAATTACGACATACCTCAAAAAATACTCTAGAGAAGGTTTTTTCGATGCTAAAAAACCCTCAATTCGATCATCTCGACCTCAAAATATATGACCATCAGAAAAAATATATTAAAAGTATTAGAAATAGTGTCTGTTGTAATGCATTTTCTGGATGGTAAATTTTTAAGATTTTCAAATGTTCATAGATCTGCTCAATTTACACTATTTTTTAATATTTAAAATTTTATAATTTGAGATGAAAATAAATTTTCAAGGTATCACAAAGATTTGTTCTACTAAAACAACATGTTTTGAAACTATATTAAGCTACACCTCACTTTGATTATTTAGGGCCTCAGGGTTATACAAACCACACTTTAAGTAAATATAATAGTAAACTATCTACCATTACTATTTTACTCACACTCTTCTTTATTATTTTCCTTCAGATTTTTCTACTGGGAAAGCTTTCTATGTTCCCTTACAACATAGAAGTTCTATTTTTCCTTTTATCCTACTGTCCATTTTTTAATGGAGGGCTAAGATTGCCCCAATCACAATGTCACGTCTCTACACTATTTTATTTTTAATTTTTTTCTATAAACTATTTTGACATCAAATTTTGTACGTCTATTTTTCTATTAAACTCGCACTAACTAAAAATATAAAAATATTATCAATAAAAAAAAAAACCAAAACACCCCTGAAAGTTTCATAGGGTATTTTGGTCATTATTTTTATCAAAAAATTATTGTTAGTATTTTTTATAGGTGCGCCCAATGAGAAGATGGCACGTACCAAATTTATATTTAGAAAAAAAAATATTAAAAAAACTAAAAATAAAATGCTTTGAAACGTTGAATCTAAAATCATACGGTGAGTGACTATCTTGATAAAAAAATAGACAGTTAGATGGTAGGGGGATGATAAACCTTCTTCAAAATGGATAGTTGTAAGAGTGTTATTAAATTGGACTCTGTTATTCACCCCAACCATCCAATTTGACATCTAATGAGTGAGAATAACTGTGACCTCCATATATAAAAATTAAATAGTACTTTTTCTAGATCATCATTGTGACTTCTATGTACAAAAGATAAAGGAAATAATACAAGTGAGAGGCTCTAAATAATCAAATTAAGGCGTACCTAAAAAATTTTATTAGAAGAAGCTGTTTTGATGTCCAAATATCTTCAAATTGATCATCTTGACCTCAAGATGCATGGACATGAAAAAAAAATGGATTTCAAGTTTTAGAAATAATGCATCCTATAATGCATTTTTGAATAATCAATTTTCAAGATTTTTAAATTTTCATAGATATGTTGGATTTACACTATTTTTAAAATTTTAAATTTTATAATTAAAGATAAAAATATTTTTTAAAACTATCACAAAATTTGTGGGTATTGAAATCACATTTCTCAACGCTATTCGAAAGTGTGTACTTTGATTGTTTAGACCCCCGGCACTATACAAGCCTTCAGTTCGCAACAATTTCCCAAATCGAAATTACTATCTTACCCCTTTGACTCTTCCTATTCCCCTTCAGTGGGCTCTCTCCCTCCATTTTCTCCTTCAGCATGCGTTCACTTCGCCAGTGGTCCAACCAACCATTCTCCATAACGATTTCTCTAGGTTTTCTGCAAGAGCCCATCAATTTCCTAAAAACCCTAAAAGAGGATAGAGGATATATGTCTTCCTTTCCTGAAAACCCTAAAAGAGGATAGAGGATATCTGTCTTCCTTTGATTGCCATGGCTTCTGATTTTGGTATCGAGTTTCTGTTCTTCATGTCCTGAAACCTTAAAACGCTTTAGATCCAAATTTTCACACCACGAATCCACCAAGTCCTGGAAACCTTGGAAAATGTTGGAGCCTGGTTACTGGTTGCAATGGCAAGTCTTTGTGTGTTCCCTTTCTTTTATTATACCGATTATTGGAGCCTTGGTGGTTTTATTCAAGAAGAGGGATGCTCCTTTAATGGCTACGGATCTTTGGATGCCATGTTGGAGAGGCCTTCATCCTGGTTGGCTTCTTGGTTTTAGGGTTTTTGCTCTGTGTGCCCTGACTGGGATACTATCCAAGATGATAGTTGTAGACAAGTTCTATGCGTTCTACTTTTATACACAGTAAGGCCCAATTCATAGTTTTCTTCTCTGTCTCGACTTTTTAGAATCCAGAATATTGCCCAGAGATAAGTTTTCTGAGAGAATTGTAAAAAAAAATGGCACAATTGAACTGAAGTTGGGGGGTTTCTTGAAAAATTTCAAGGAAGTTGAATTCACTGGAAAGTTTTCCTTCTTTTTTTTTTTTTGAATTTGAACCATGTAGTCTTAAATTTTGTCCCCAACATATCTTGAATGTGCATTATATCTATTTTCTGTAGAATTCAGCACACAGTAAGTTGTATTGACTCTGCAAATATTATTGTTTGGTATTGGTCCGTGAAACTAATCTTTTGATTTGATGATAAGAGGGTCTACTGAACTAGTTTTTTTAATTTGATGATAGAAAGAAACAAAATATGTCAACAGTTAGGCTCTGTATGACACAAAGTCACAATGCCCAGTCGACAACAAGACTTACTATACAAATATTAATTTTACATTTTGCAGTTAAATGTTAAAAACAAATATGTTAAGGACCATCCCAAATAAAGAATTTCTAAGTGTGGACAGAACCCTTCTTTTTTTAGTACTTAACTAGCTGGTTATTTACAGAGGAATCCCCATCCTTTCAATTGAAAACAAATTTTGGCTGATGCACTCATCTGAATCTTTTGAAGTCTTTCATTCCAGCATCCATTAATAGATGCTCTATTTTTTCTTATCTGATCATTTAAGTAGATGATTCAATAGTTCATCATGGGATGATTTTTTATTTTAGTTTAGTGAGCCAGTAACTAAATTATGGGAGGGCTTATTGAGCAAATATTTGGTCGTCAATGAGGAACTCATTGTTTATTATTTGAGTTAATGCGTGGATTCTACTTTTTGTTGTGGCCCATTTGTCACTTAGAGAGAGCCATATCCAATGACAATGGCACTCTTCATTTCAAACCCTAGGTTTTTGGTTTGAGGCGACTGCCGAATTCTTAACTGCTACCCCCTTTAGGGACTAATGAAAATTTTCATATAGCTTAATTCTATGGGCTTCTGTCTATCATTGGTAAGTGGCTTTTAGGGAAACTATAGATGGAAGGAGGATTTATTTTGGTCCTTTGCATTTTTATAATTTCGAATAGTTCTTCCTTGTCATCGTGTTATATGTGTCCTGTGATGTCTTACTTGTGCTTAGACTTTGCACATCAGTTTATGATCACAGCCTCCATATGTTTTACTAGGATAAAATCTTTCCATTCATGTAATGTGAACAAATGCTGCATTGAACCCAGGTCTTGTGCTTTTATGTGTCCTCCATGTTGCACTTGGTATGCTAGAATGTATTAACTTGCAACAATTGAAACCTGAAACGTCCTCCATGTTGCACTTGGCATGCTAGAATGTATTAACTTGCAACAGTTGAAACCTGAAACTTGAAATCTGTTTGTTTATTTATTTATTTTGTTTGTCTAACATCTATGTTGTTACTCATTAGTTTGCGGTTTTGAATTTATCTAAATTTTTTAGTGTATTTAGAAAATATCTGCCTTTTTTTATGTAACATATGTTAATTGAATGGCTCCTATTTCCCCATTGTATTTGGTGGCGTTACTTCATCTTCCCCGTCGTGCACCTTGTCAAGAGTGTAATAATGTTTGCTTGTTCCTTCTCAGAAAACCTTTTCTGTTTTTCATTATTGTTGAGCATCTTGACAAACTGATCAATTTTTTGTAGTAGTTCAAGTGAGTCGGATGTTTTGATTTCTTGAGCTTGGATCTAGAAATATGTACTTTAAGACAGGAGTTCTTTGAATTCTGTAATGTTTCTAAGTGTCTGTTCTTCTGACCAATATGCGCAGATGGACCTTTACGCTAGTCATTTTCTACTTTGTGGTATGTCTCTCTTCTACATCTTTCCATCTCATTAGCATTATTCATTCATTTGTTATTTCTATTTGTATATGAAAGTTTATTAACACAATTTCTTGAATTCTTTTTGCAATTCCTGATTTTGATCTGCGATAGCCACAGTTATCATGAGGCATTCATTTAAAAAATACATTTTCCAGCATATGAAATAAAATGTAGTGTTTTCAAATACCATGATTGCTTTGTAACCTTATATATCTTGCTATTCTACCATTTCTACTTGTAGCTTGGTACGATTGTTTCAGCACATGCATGCTGGGAGTATTTCAAAAAGGGATCTGTTAGTAATGATGAAAGGACTACATTTTTGAGAAGGGATATAGAAGAGAATATGGGTCATGGATCAAATGGAATGGAAGGTAATATCAAATTGCAAGGCAACCATGAGCAGAAGGAGACTAAGCAGAGAGCTAGATTTTTGGGATACACCATGCAAATTGTTTATCAGGTTTGCTCCTTCAAATCGGTGCTCCTCTTACTCTAGCAATTAATAGATATATCTGTTTATCAGGTTTGCTCCTCCAATTTGGTTCTCCTGTTACTAATATAGCAATTAATTAATACGATAGGGATACATTATTGATGAGTAATATGTTTTAGTTGTCAAGGGAAATCAGAAGATGTTATATAGCTACTGAACGTAGATCAGTTCTCTTAAATGTATTTTTGAAATATGCATCACATGAGAATGTTAAATATTTAGGAATAAAGATACATGTACCTGTGGTTTAATTTTTAAATTTTATTTTTAAAAGATATCGGACATTAATGAAGACCTGAAATATAGGAGGAGCCAAGATTTTGAAGGAAGTTCCCGTTCAAGTTTAGTTTCAAAACTCTCTTTGGTGGCTTTCTTTGCTGTATCTCAGGCTTCAGTCCAATGATTACTAAACAACAGATCCCTCTGCTGTCGAACTATATCTTTCACCCTAACTCCATGTAAGTCTTTCTTGACTGGAGTCGAAGAACTAATGGAAGCCCCTGATCTGTCCCTTGAAGACCTCACTAGTGGTATATGCAACTCTGAATATTGTATTTTTCTTCTCCCACATGTAGTTGCTAGCAGGCACATCTTCATGAAGATGCAACTCCTCACAAGAAATGGACTAGACTAGATGAAGTAATGAACAATTATCTATGAGAATTGTCTCAATTGCAGGCATCACCCAAACAAATGCATCAAGTACATCTAACATACATCATGCAGTGATTGCAGTCCTCCAATGCCCTTACATTAACAAACGATTGGGAAAATGCTTGAAGAAAAAGCAAAAACAATTATCCCACCCACAGAAAAGATTATCCTGTTCACAACAACTTACTTGTCAAGTGTTGCCAACAAGCGCATGGCAAGTACTTACCCGTCCCTATTATACTCCTTGCACCCACTCTTTCCCTTAGTGACCTGTGGGTCATGCTCTCAAATTTTAAACTGCTCAATTAGTTTCCTAAGTAGGAAAATAGTCTCGATTGTTGAGCTTCCTGACATAAAACCGAATTGGTTTTCAGATACACTCATTTTATACCTTAGTCGTTGCTCAATCATTCTCTCCCAGAGCTTCATAGTATGGCTCATTAGCTTGATCCCTCGATAGTTCCTACAATTCCATATGTCTCCCTTGTTCTTGTAAATAGGTACCACAATACTTTTCCTCCATTCGTTTAGAATTTTATTTGTTCTCAACACCTTGTTGAATAGCTTCTTCAGCCAGTCAATGCCAATCTCCCCCATGCACTTTCAAACCTCTATCGGGATATCTGGTTGTAAAGCCTTTCCTATCTTCATCCTTTTTAAAGCTTTTTTCACTTCTGACATCGTCATCCTATAAATGTATTTATGACCTTCGCCCTCATTTATACTAATAGTTCCTTCTATCTCTATGTTCCCATTGTGTTCATCATTTAATAATTTTTTAAAATAGACTCTCCACATTTCGTTGACCTCGTCATCCTTCACCAAGACCCCTTGACTTCATTCTTAATGCATTTAATATGGTTTAGATCCTTACACTTTTTCTCTCTTATTTTTGCTAATTTGAAGACATCATTTTTACCTTCTCTTGTTCCTAGTTTATTGTATAGATCCCTATGCTTTTTCTCTCTTATTTTTGCTAATTTGAAGACATCTTTTTTACCTTCTTTTTTTCCCAGTTTATTGTATAGATCATCATATGCCTTAAGTTTCGCTTTACTTGCTATTTGTTTAGCATTTTTCTTAGCAATTTTATATCCTTCTATTACACTACCAAGTTTTATAACATTATCGTTTTTCGCTAATGGCCTTCTGGACCTCATCAGTCCACCACCAAGTTTCAGAAAGGTTAGCAAATTATGACATGATATTCATGGCTGTTATGCTAATGGTCTGTTTTGTCATTTTACAAATAGGTGCTTTCTTTAATTGTTTTCTCATTATTCGAAATTGGAACGGCATGTACTTCACAAGACAATGTGGGGGGAAAAAATCAAAATAATAAAAAGTTAAAAGAAAGAAAACACAGGAAGGAATGATGTGAATATTCATTGTTTGGATCATTTCTGGAAAATTAACGATATTAGAGCCATTTGGAAAACTTTGAAAGTCTTATTAAATGATTTGACATCTATAGTTTCATCAAACATAATTATCGGTGCTCTATAATTTATCAAAGAGCAGAACCATGAGTTGTATTGCATTTTGGACCCAAACAAGATAGTAAAGAAATGGTCATCCAAAAGAAGATTTAATTTCCATGCAAAAAGTAATCAGTACAATTGAGTTGCTATTCTAGGCTGAGTTTCAGCGTTAAGAACCTACTCATTGTCGATAATCTTCTGTCTGTGCTTTCCTTTTTGGTGCAGACTTGTGCAGGTGCTGTGGTTCTGACTGATGTTGTATTCTGGCTTGTCATAGTTCCTTTTCTCAACGATGACAGATTTAGTCTGAATCTGGTGAGATTTCTAATACACTTGCCTTTTCTTAAATGCTCAATTCCAAAGCACGTAAATGTTGACCCATTTTTCAGTGGGAGAAGTACCAGTATATAGCGAATGTTTTCTCAAAGACCCTTTTTTAACAATCAGAGTATGACTTTGTTTAATCATTCTCTCTTAACGGGTACCCCCTTTGGCTTCTTGGAACTCTTGATAATTTTTACATTGGCCATGGGATAAAATGCCAGGAAGTTAGGAACCTCAATTTTCCCCATGTTTTCTTTGTTGTGATGTTCAAAACTTTAAATATTGTTATGTAGTGCTTTGCGTTTTGCATTATAGCTTTGATTGATTCAATGCTTCAATAACATATCAAGATGTCAGTGCCGATTTCAATAACTGGGGTTCTTTTTGTTTTATTTTTTTCTTTGATTCCACAAATATGTTTGATTTCAAAGAATAGATTGCAGTCCTCTGAGGGCTGTGAAAATAATATCTAGGAGGTTTAAGATGGGGTTTTATTAAACTGAGGGGTCCTCACAAAAGAGATGAAGAAGAAAAGCAGATGCAAATTTCTTTCAAGGGCTTCATTTGCAAAAACTTTCTTTTCTGTTACAGGCAAACCCCGAGCTCTCTGCATGTCTTAGTTGACAAGCACTTGCCTAGGCATTATATCTCACACTTTGACTAGTGCCTGATTTTTTCTCTCCCAAAGAGCCCTATGCGACTTATCTTGTGGAACAGGCAACTGGATGGATTATTTATTATGAGAAAATTTCTTGAGAGCATTAATTTTGGAGGCAAAAATGCCATCACAAGTGTGAAGTTCTTGCAAATTTGGTCCTGTCCTCAATTACCTGAGGCAGTTTATCTGGAATTTGCATTTCTCTACTCTGTATTACTTGTCTTATATATACCTGTTAGAGATGTTTACAGCCTGCTTCTCAATTTCACTTTCAAAATTAAGGAGAAATTGCTAAAACAAACACAACTGGATGCATACATGATGATGGTGACTTTATGTGGTGATTGTTGACAGTTAATGGGGAGTATGCATAGCCTCAATGCTGTATTTCTCCTTCTAGATACTGCTCTCAACAATATGGTGAGTATGTGCAACATTTATAGCGTCATATTTTTGAGAAAAAAAAACTATACTTCAATGTACTATGTTAGACGGACCTCCATCTACTTTGGCCATTTGTTCCCATGATTCGATGGTTGGTGATTACATCGAGAGGTACTACATGGGCATTCACTTCTCTATAATGAATCTGCTACCATCCTTAAGAGAAAGTGGATGTTGGATGTACGTATAGCATCATATGTCATAGATCCATTGCTCCATGGTCCCCCATTTGCATCAACCGTTTTTTCCCATTTGTGGATGGATGGTTGGAGATTAAATTGAGTGAAGCCTACATGGTCATTCCTTGTGTACAATTAATCCATTATTCCATTATCATCTGTAAGGGAGAATGGATGGTGGATATAACTTGAAGTCCTATATCTCATAGATCAATTGCTCTATTGTATTTTTTTCTTCTTTAGGAAAAAATTATTGAAGGGTATCTTACAAAATCACTAAAGGGTCGATAGATCCCATTTACGACTACTTAGATTGCTATTTAAGTTTCATTTCCTGTAAGTACCTCCTGAAAAATTTGTTAAAAAATTCCAAAATATTCCTGTTTAGGGTTGTGAATCCTGCACAATCAGGGGCATTTTGATAATTTGGCTCACTTAAAGTAGCTCATCTAAATTATATAAATACCCCTAGTTGTTCAAGGTTGAGAAAATGGAACTGACCAAAATACTCTAGTTGTTCATGATTAGGGATTTGGCTCGTTTAAGTGGCTCGATCTAAATTACAAAGTACCCCTAGTCTTTCAGGGTTGAGAAAATGGAACTCCCAAATGACCAGAATACCCCAATTGTTCAAGATTAGTAATACAAAAATTTTTTATCGTTTAATAGTTCAGCATTCGCAAACCTGAACAACTATCAATATATTTCTAATTTGGCTCTATCAAAATACCCCTAATTGCTCAAAGTTCTCAACCCTCAATAAGGGCAATTGGGGAATTCTTAATAAATTTTTAGAGGAGGCACCTTTATGAAATGAATCTTAGAAAGTAAACCCTGCTGTGGTAAATGGGATCTTTGGAGTCCTTAATTGATTTGTAAGATAATTTGAGCCCTTTAATGATATCTTCCCTTCTTTTTAGTACAAGATTACTCTATGAAGGATGCAACACTTAATGATCACATACTGTTTCCAGCGATTCCCTTTCTTTCGCATGGCGTACTTTGTGCTTTGGAGTTGTATCTATGTCATTTTCCAGTGGGTTATTCATGCGTGTGGCGTTTCCTGGTATGCTATCATCTTCTTTTTATCATGGTCTAAATCCATGAATTAGAATCATTCTTTTTTTTTTCTTTCTATATACTAAATTATTGGATCTGAAGTATTTTTAAGTTGATTTCCTTGGCTGATGAACTAATCTATACTATTGCTTACAAAATCTGAAACTAACGCTCTAGATGGTGGCTATTGTGATTAATTTTCAATTTGATTCTCTTTGATATCTCACTGAATTATTTCGTGTCACTGTTTTTGGAAGGTGGCCTTACCCATTTCTGGAGCTCTCCACTCCTTGGGCACCTTTGTGGTAAGAGACGACCTTTTCTATTTTATTCTTAATATTTGTAATGGTTTCTATGCTTTGTGGGGAGGGGGAAATCAAGGTTAGTTTGGGGCACTGTTGGACTACTGTTTGTTTATGTGGGCAGTCGGTTGCTCTGATAATTCAACAGTAAGGATAATTATGTGATGTTATAGTGACAAACATCTCTTTTACGTATAATTTTATGAAAAATAGTGAGATTTTCTTAGTAAAACATTTTTCTTAGCATCATGCCAGTGGTCTACGGCATTCTTTTCCTGTTATTTATTTTGAAAATAAGAAAATTATACTTGAGTGTAAAATAATAGGCTTCTAAGAAATATGTGAAGCACAAATCTAGAAAACATTGCAAGCAACAGTAAGTTATTGCAAAATAAATTTTAGGGAAATTTAAGTAAATATCCCTTATTTTGTGGGGTTCAAAACTTGTCCTCAATATTTCATATTTTATGTTTTCACTTTTTAAGAGCATGTATCATATTTTACATTTAGGGTTTTTTCCATACAATAGAATTTTGAGTATCCATATTTCTCACTATTATGCACCTGAAAAAAAATGTAACGACAATAATTTTAAATGCATAAAATGATCAAAATACCCTAAAATTATTACGAATGTTTTATTTTATTTTTACTTAATTATTTTTATATTTTTTTATGAAATGTGTGATAGTGAGAAGTATGGACTCACGAAATTTGAGCTCAAGCAGATGTATAGAAAAAAAGGAGAAAATTAAAATATTCAATGTGTCTTATAAAGTGGAAAATGAATGTAAAAGATAAAATACTGGGGATACTTTTTAAATTCCAAAAATATACGTGGATATTTATGTAAATTTCACTAAATTTCAATCGGAATGGATGTGGACATGTGGTTTAGAGCAAGATCTTGTTCAAATAAAGCAATGTAGCTACAACGACAATCTATTTATGCAAAATAGAAATAAAAATTTAGGCAACTATTTCTTTTTTATTTTCTTTCTCTTTTAAAATTTTCATTAACTTATGTGCTATTCTTATTATTTTTAACTTTTAGTTTCAATTTCCCCCATGATTTACCCGAAGTTCCCATTGATATACAAAGTTTTTAGATGTTTTGAAAGCAGTAGCTCTTTCTGAACTTTGTAACAGCAAGATTTGTAGTATTTTGGGATAACTGTGTTACCATCTATCCCTATATCCATACGATTCAACGTTCAAAGTTGCAATTCCTTCTTGTTCTTGGTTTCTCAATGAAAGAAGTGGTAGATCTTTCTGAAATTTCATCATTTTTTTTTTTGGATTTTGAGTATTTGAATTTAATATTTAGCTTATTTTTTACCTTTTCTTTCACAAAAAGTAACCTGACATCTGGTGGGTTTTGGTTGGATTGTGCCAAACCAGGTAAAAATTTGGTCATAATTTGTGCAAATTACTGAAATAATTACTGAAATTTGATGAATATAAGCGCTATCTATCTTGCAGGTACTTCTGTTTGGCTCTTGTTCACATCCCATGCTATGGTATATATGCCTTGATTGTAAAATTGAAATATTATTTTTTGCATGCTGGTGTAAGTTCAAATTAGAATATTGCTTTGATTATTCTCTTGAGAAATTGGGGAATGCTTCAATATAAGAAAAAACTTCTACATGTGGTTAGAATTTCAGGTTTGTCTTTTTCTCAATTTCTTCCACTTTATGCTATGATTTTCAATAGCATCAAATACAGAGAAAAGAGTGTCTATATTTCTGTGACAGTAAAGAGACTAAAAATGTACTGAGTCCAGCTTGTGAAAGGTATGTGTATGGTAATGATTTATTAGGTAATATTTACTGTTAACTATAAGGCTTGTTTTGCCACTCTCTTTTAGTTTCTTGGAAAGGTCAATTATTCTTGTTCTTTTATTGAGAAACTTATTCAAATGGTGTAATTGTTCGCGCTCCGTAGCCATCATTCTCATTTCAGTTACCTTCGCCGTATTTTGTGAAGATCGAAAAACCTTATTTTCTTTTCTTTTCATGAGAAGCATTGGAATTTTTGATATATCGTTTCAGTTGTAAAGTCAAAATTCTGTTTTGTTCAAATATAGGTGATTCTTTTTAGGAAAATCGCAGCTGTTATATATAGGCATGACAGCCATTAATAATTGAAAAAAATGGTAATATATAATAAAACAATATATAATAATACCATTTATCTTTGGCATATGGAGTTTGCAATTAATCTTAATCATCGGATGTGAAATTGAGTGGCTACATTTATTTTGTTGGCCATGCTCAAAGTTCAAAAGAAATCTTCTTGAACTATGATACAAAAAGTTGGCAAATTTCACATTGGATGCATATAGGTAATTGTTACCCCAAGTGCTAAATAGTCTCGTGGTATACAATACCAATAAATAGAAAAACAAGAGAGATAAATCCCATTACATCCGATATTTACAAGACAAAAATAGTCTCGTGGTATACAATCCCAATAAATAGAAAAACAAGAGAGATAAATCCCATTACATCCGATATTTACAAGACGTACCAATGCTAAATGGTCTCATGGTATACCATCCCAAAAAAAGAAAAAGAAAAAGAACAAAAGATAAATCCCATTACATCCGATATTTACTGAACTTCACCAGATATATCCTCTTAAATATGTCGTACTTTGAAGCAATTAAAAAAATTTCAAAAATTGCACTCATTATATTTGTAAGGAAGAAGTTATATAAGGGCAAAACAATCGAAATAGGTAGAAGTTTCACCAAAAGAGGTTGTTTTGATGCTCAAATATATTCGAATTGATCATCTCGACTTCAAGATATATGGACATGAGAAAAAAATGGATTTCAAGTTTTGAAAATGTCGATGACTATCAATTATCAAGATTTTTAAGTTTTTGTAGATCTGTTCAATCCACATTATTTTTTAAGTTTTAAATTTCATAATTAGATATGAAAATATATTTTATGGTTATAAGAAAGATTTTCGGTATAGAAACCATATTTCTCAACACTATTTGAAGGTGTGTTTTTTTTTTTTTAGTTGTTTGGAGCCCCGGCTCTATACAAATCGCACCCTATTCGTAATGATGGAAATATGCCATAAGTATTCTCTCATTGTTGCCTGTTATTTCTTTGTTGCAAATAATTAGTAGGAATCAGGCTGTCTTAAGTAGTTAACAGTTGACTTAGGGTCTTGACTGAGGTTTGAGTCTAAATCCTAGACCCGAATACCATTTGGGTCACAGTTTGGGTTCAGTTGGATTCAGTTCCCACATTATATTTTTGGGTCTGGATCTATTGACTTTGGGTTTGGTCGGGACCGGGTCCGGGTTGGACCCGAACCTGGCCTGACCTAGCCGAGACGTCCTTGGTTTCAATGGAAATGGCTCGGTGTCCAACTTTTCTATTTGATTAATTTCCGAAATAAAACTCCCCCACGGAAAAACAGCTTGTTGTCCAACTTTTTCTATTTGATTAATTTCCGAAGTAAACGACAGTTTCTATAAAGCAAGGGTTTTTTCATGAATAATGCTACATTTTGCTACGTTTGGACAATGATGCCAATTAATTTTATTTGGAATAGAGAGTCTTATCGGAAATTAATTTACTTTATATAATATTTTTTGCAGTTGTTTAGTACTTATCTTGTATTATGCATATCGTTATTTAAATAATATTTAACTTTATTAAACAATTTTCAACTATTTTTAGCTATTTCTAACCAAAAAATGTGTTTTTTTAGCAATATTACCTAGAAGTTTTCCTCACGTAACTTTATATTGGACAATGCTAAACGACAGAATAGTTAGTTATTACTTATTAGCGATGATTAAAAAATGCCGAGTCGGCATGGAATTGCTCGGTCCAACATGAGAATCGATCACCCTATTCCAATTCTACATATACATTGGAAAACGGCTCAGTCTAAAAATCGGCAGTTGTACGAAGTAAAATGGCTATTCTCTAAGGTAAAACGACTACTCTCTAGGGTAAAATGGTGATCTGGATTGTCGATTCATTGATCCGGATTGGTTTTTGGCCGGTTTATTAGTTTTTCTCGTATTTTTTCGTCGGTTTACTATTTTCCACATACTAGAATAGTGATCCAAACCGCCGATTGAACAACCCGGAATGATTTTTGGGGAGTCTAATTCGGGTCACCGGTCTACTTTTTAAATCACTGCTTATTGGGATTAAAGCTTTATTGAAATAGTGAATTATTAGTGGCAACAAGTACATCTCAACGAGCCCTAAAGGTAGAAAAATACATGGAAAATATAATATCTCACCCATTGTTTGAAAAATTGCATGATCTAACTGGTAATTGCTTGGTTAGATCAGAACCGGCCCTTTGCTGGTTCCGATTTTGGGGGTTTTGGTGATCGGCAGGAAAAAAAAAAAAAAAATCTATAAAATCCCAAAAATAAAGAATTTGATTTGTAATACATTTTTTAAAATATTTTTTACATTATGATACATATTAAAAATTGTTTTGGTCATTAATACTCACTTTAAAATCTATTTTTTCATTAATTTTCAACTTCATCTGAATGTGTTTTGTTTGAATCATTTTTTATAAATTTTGTTATATTTTAGTAGATTTTTTTTTGCATCTTTTTTATTTTTTCAACAATTTTTTGGCCACCCAGAACTTGTCCGATTAGAACGGTTGAATCAACCGATTTATCGATTAGGAAACTGCTTCTGGCCCATGTCCAGTTAGCCGTTTCGGCTCGATTTTACGAACACTGATCTCACCATCACTTCTTTCCTCAATGAGTTGACTATGTTCCCATAGGAGAACATTGCGTACTAACGCTCATTGTATATACTTACCGCTGGTGAAAGAGGAACTTATGAGGATTTTTACAATATAAAATATTTGGGATCCACTTAAAACTAACCTGATGAGTACTTAAAAATAATAATTTGATTTTGAGTTCTTAAAAGCGAAGATTTGGCCATCCAAATTGGACCGTCAGTTTTCAATCTTAGGACGCCATTTTTTGAGTGCTATGTCTCTGCTTCCTCTGTCTCAACCATCTGATCCGAATAGACGCAGCTTGTTATGCTTAATAGTGTGCTATTTATAGTTAATCTTGACATTAAATTTGGGGCAAAGCTTATAGGGCTATAAAAGTATATTTCCAATAAAATTAAATAACCCGAATACCCTTATGACCTATAGGGTTATTTTTGGTCATTTTGTTTTACGAAAATTAGTTTTTTAGATTTTTTAGGTGTTCACCTATGCGAATATGGCATGCTCCAAATTTAACAAGAGATGATTTATAAAAAATAAAACATAAAAATAGAAAGCAAAGTACTATATGATCCATTCCATGAAGGTTAGACAGTCATAGGCTAACTTATGACATTAGCACTAAAGCTATCCCAATTGATCACTTAGATCAAACAACCGAGACAAAAGAGGGGGGAGAGTTGCGTATATAAGGGAGGGGATGTATAATAAGGTTTTCCAACTTTTTAAGGCACATATAGAGTGTGTTTGATCTTCTTTTCTTTTATTCTTTTTTGAAGTTGGTCACTAAGCTAAAGAGATTACATCTCCAAAGTTTTGTGGCCTAAAGATTCGTGGGAGCACA